CTAGGGGACAATATACAGCCTTGTCGTACTCCTTTCCCAATTTTGAACTAATCTTTTTCCCCATAGGAACGCATTAATTAAATTTCAATGCATTCCAATGGGAAAACTTGCTTCGCAAAATGAAATTTTCGCAAGACGGCATTAATCGTGGAGCAGATTAATTTTGTCTTGCGAGGCACCACTGTATAAAGCTTGGCCCCCTACAGAGCTGGCTTTTGCATTTCTGAGCTGCTCACTCATGCCTTTTTCTTAGGTCATGCTGTTGCTTCACTTTGCTTTCAACTAAGGCCCATTACAAGTTGTTTATCAATCTTATTTAATAATTGACAGGTCAGGGAAGGAGTAGTAGCCAAGTTGGCTTCCTGGCTCTTGCTGTGCTAATAGTGTTCTCTTGAGTACCTACCTTCTCCTATTTTTTCTTTTGTGCCTCTTATGTCATAACTGTTTTACAGTTGGTACAATTTCACATGGTCTTTGAGGAATGAGTGGGGATGGGCTCTTTGCTCCCAGATACAAATAAGTTCTCGGGGACATGTTGCTGTTAGCATTTCCCTGAAAAATTGGGAAGCTGTTGCTCAGGCTATCAGCAGCTGTTCACCTTCTAGTGTGATAGCTCATGCCATATGTGACAGTTCATGGGTGGTTGGAAGCAAAATCTGTGACTCTGTCCTCTGCCTTGCTGTTTGTCAACCATTCATAGTAAAAGGTGCCCTTTACTGTTTTCAGTTGGTATACACTGCTTTGTTCTCTTCACCTCCCCGTATCCATGGCTGCTTACAAGTACAAATGTTTTATTGGTGCATAAAATATGGTGATATTGACTCTAGATGGACTACATTACTTTTTGGGGTTTTTGGTTCTTTCATTTAACTAGCCTCTGCATAATTTAACATAAGCATTAGAGTCTTATACATTCATATCCTTCCAATAATTACTTTAACGTCTTGCCTTTCATGTCCTGTCAGTTGTGCTAATGAATCAGCTCTATTTTTTTTTAAAAGCCATGGACCTTTTCAGTTTGTTGGAAAAATACTTACCCCCCTGAAAGCTTCAGGAACAGGCTTAATAATATGTATGCCATATGTACTTGCCTTGCTTCATGTTATAGAGGTGGGCAATGTTGACATACACCAAGAAGCTGTTTGTGTTGGAGGAAGACATCTGCCAGCCTAATTTAAAGCTGCCCAATATGAAACACTTATTCATAGAAAGAAAAGTTTTCTGGTGTAACACTGAGACTTTGAATTGCTGCAGTCTGAATCTTGAACCAACAGAATGGCCTCTTATGGTCTGTGTTAATGCTAATATGAAGTGAAAGGTATCTGCTGAGCCTTAAAAGACGAGTGCTTCCATTTTAAAGTTAGGTTCATAAGGTCAATCAAAAATTAAATCAATCCACTCTAAGCCTCATCTAGGTGATAATGTTGTATGTGGGGTGTACCTCTTCAGGCTGCTGTTGTGACACAGAGTTGAGTAGAATGTAATGTTAATTTCTTTACAGCTACATATCAGTATTGAGTAGTTGAGGCCCTCCTTATGTAGTCAGACTTTATTTTACATCAGCCATAGCCAGATGTAAGAAATGCTTAGCAATTATAATTTCAACAATCTGTAGACAGCTGCAGTTGCCCAACCCTGTTCTGCACTGAAAGCTAACATGTCACTGATGATTAAACCCTGGCTTTCTTCTTGGTATGTGAATTTGCGATGTATGCAGAATGTTTTATTTACTATCATAAATATGTATTATATAATGTGCTATATCTGAGAAGGAGGAGACAGTAATGTGAGCTCTCAACTGTAGTCTGAAGTGATACCTCTTACATAAGTTTACCACATCATTTAGAATGAGGACAACATTTGGGAACAGTGGAAGATGAAATTGCTTCTACCTCAGTTTCCTTCTACTCTTTTTTTTAAATTGTCTTCTCTTTTTTTAATAACAGTAAATTGATGTGGTTTAGGGAATGGACTCTGATCTGTTTTCCCTTCATAATCTATTTATAGGCAGTGTCCCAGTAACTGAGAAACAATTAAAAGCACAGGTAGAAGACCCAAACACAATTTTGAATCTACCAAAAGAAGCATCTTCCCTCCCGCCCCCCCCGTCCCCAGTTGTAGCCCATGCTGCTGAAGTTCTTGATGGAGGAGCTAATTTTTTTAAACCTCAATAGCCAGAAAGGATTAACCTCAAAAATTTACTAGCTGTTAATTGATAAGCCTTATGGCAGTGCTTTGGGCTTCAAAGCTGTAGGTGTAAAAAGCTCTAGACTATACTTTTATAAGGATATTTGGGAAAGTATATCGAACAAAAAAATTGAATCACTGTCAGCTGATATATATGAACATAGTCATAATCCCATGTACTATTGATACCAGCCACTGCTCACATTTATGTTGGTAAAAGTAAGTCTTATCTGCGTCTGTGTCGAAAGTGCCGAAGGTAATTGGTTTCTGGACATAGATATTTAAAGCAATGTAACAAAAATGTAAAAGATCACACTAACTCATCTTCTGAATTTTGTATCCTTGTTCATGGAATCCAGTCAAGATAGATTTGATTTACATCACAACTCGAATGATAAAAATTGGATTTTTTAATTATTAAATTTAAAAATTGATCTTTAAAATTTAAATTGTTTAAATCATGATTTGCATCAGTCTTTTTTTTTAAAAAAATTCTATCCACCCTGAATCTGTTGCAACTTTAAACCATGGGTACTTTTCTGTGGTCTGGCAGCTAGTTAGGCAAAATCATCCTGGAAAGAGTACTTTTCATTATTTATGCGAAAAGGTTTTGTAACTTGACATTAATAGAACTAGCCGCACATTAACAATTAACAAACACATGAACATCAGTAAATTCTGTTGTGCTGTATCCCTTTATTCAATATTTCAACAATATTAAGTACATTACATTCCCCTTCTTCCAGCTATGCTGACCTGTGAAGACAGTTATTAACTTGAAGACTTAAAATATTGACCAGTCCCCTGAATCATAATGATTTATTTTGTCCACCAAGTGCTAATTGTTATTGTTGCATAATAGTGGTGCTGCAGTTGTGCAGTTCTGTTTGTGTTCTTGTTATGTATCGTCAAATTGCTTCCAACTTCTGGCAACCCTACAAATTAGTGGCCTTCCAGTGATCCTGTCATTAACAGCCTTAGTCGAGTCTTGCAATCTTAAGAACATGAATTAGTGTATTGAGTCAATCTGTCTCATATTTGGTCTCATTCTTTTCTGCTGACTTGAATTTTTCCAGTATTATTACCTTTTCCAGTGAGTCTTGTCATAATGTACTCAAAATACAGTAGCCTCTGTCCAGTTATTTTTGCTTCCAGAGAGATCAGTTGATTTCATCTAGCAACTCCTCCTTTATACATGGTATCTGTGAAGCTCTCATCCCAAAACCACATTTCAAATTGATTTTTTCCTGTCCGCTTTCGTCACTGTCCAATTTTCACATCTCTACATAGTAACTGGAAATGCTATTTATTTTTGTTTTCTATTTTATAAGTTGTAACCCACCCAGAATAGTGCTGTGACACTAATCGGAGCGGAATACAAATTGAATGAATGAATAAGCAAATAAATGAATAAATAAATAAATCAGTAGTAGAAATTGTTCAGTGTTTTCTCTGTACTTCAGAGAAAAGTACAAATGGTGGCATATCAGGAGAGACTAAATAATTATCTAAAAAGCATTGAGTGCAGTTTACAATTGTCCTGTTCAACAGTTTCACATTTCTTTTGTCTTTTTCTTTAAGGCTATGTTCAGGGCATGAGTGACTTACTTTCCCCTATTTTATATGTGATGGAGAATGAAGTGGATGCTTTTTGGTGCTTTGCCTTGTACATGGATCAAATGGTAAATATTTCCATCTTTGGCCAGAAATTGTATTGGAATAGGTTACATTGGCTGGGACAAAAACCCTACCCAATTAGGAAGAAGTAATAGATTTGTTAGGAGTTATTCTGTGTGTGTCCTGGCTGTTCTTATTTCTTAAAAAACAAACAAATACATAAATAACAACAACTCACAAACCTTACATGGCAATTGGATGAAATGAGGAGACATGGATTACAACTGTGCAGGTGACAGTGCCACAGAATGCCTACACTTTTTGAACTGTGTAATCAAGCATGATTGTTGGAGGCTGATGCCCTGTCCTGCTACAGAAGAATAAACACATTTCAAAATATAGCTCCATATATAGGCTGAAATCATGTTGGCAGTTTATGTGCATATAAATATAATTGTGTAAACCACAGCAGTGAATGGCCACTAATTGATGAGCTGCTGGTCACTTGATTTCTCTGGTTGCTACAGTGCAACCAGGAACATGACTAGCGCTTCATTAATCAGCAGCAATTTGATACCGCAACTTACATGATTTCATTTATACATGCATAAATTGCCAGTAGGGTTCTGGTCATAGAATTTTGTAAAATGGTAAAAGACCAGTTTATCATGAAATATAATTCAGAGATATACTGTAAATAATTTAGAACCATTGGTTGTTGTGGGTTTTTTGGGCTCTTTGGCCGTGTTCTGGAGGTTGTTCTTCCTAACGTTTCGCCAGTCTCTGTGGCCGGCATCTTCAGAGGACTGCAACCTGTGCTCTGCTCAGCAACCTGACCGAAAAACCCACAACAACCATTAGATCCCGGCCGTGAAATCCTTCGCGAATAAATTTAGAACCATCTTCATAAAGGATTTACTGTTTAAGTGCAGTATAGGAAACAATATAGTATATAAACTCAAGCTTCCTGACTGCTTATTCTTCCTCTTTCTTTAAACATCTGTAACTTTACATACCGTATTTTTCGCTCCATAAGACGCACCTTTCCATAAGACGCACCAAATTTTTAGGAGAAGAAAACAGGAAAAAAATTATCTGCTTTCTTCTCCTAAAACTTGGTGAGCCTTAATATAAACTCAAGCTTCCTGACTGCTTATTCTTCCTCTTTCTTTAAACATCTGTAACTTTACATACATAACAGTTTGTTCTTCTGAAGAAGTAGGATTGAAAGCCTTTTCCACAATAAGTTAGTTTTTATGTACCACAAGATTTTTGGTTGTGTTTAGATAATTAAATTTAAGAACTCAGCCTTTCGGGTTTAGTTTTATACTTAGTTTTGAGACCAGCATTATCCTTTGCTTTGGAATAAAAAATTACATTTATGATTGGTTTTGGAATTGTGTAAGTTTGTAACCATCTTAATAACTTGTTTTCCCATCAAGCATCAGAATTTTGAAGAGCAAATGCAGGGTATGAAGACACAACTAATTCAACTGAGTACTTTACTTCGCTTGTTAGATAGTGGATTTTGCAGTTACTTGGGTATGTATTAAACCTCAAAATAATGTACTGCTTCCCTTTTATTCAGGTAGTCTAGCTGTACATTTGTAGCTGTTAGGCTCCATAAGGTAGCAGTGACTAAAGAACATTCTGAGTAGACAGTGAACCGTACACAATAATGTAGGAATGATTGTTTGTCTGTTTGCCTGCCTATAATAGATTATATGCCAAAGTAACCATTTTAGTAGTTAATTTGAGTCCCTTGGGTTTTATTCTGATGTGATTAAAATATATTGCTTATGTGTACAGCCTTGTGTTATTCACAGCTAATTTGTCAAGAATTTACAGATGTATGCTTTTGCTTTCCTCAGAATCACAAGATTCAGGGTACCTTTACTTTTGCTTCCGATGGCTTCTAATAAGATTTAAGAGAGAATTTAATTTCCAAGATATTCTTCGCTTGTGGGAGGTAAGATAGCTGCTTTCTAGTTTTACCTCTGTCTGTAACTCCATTACACCATCAGTTAAGGAAAAATTACTGTGGAGAAAGAGCCAAAACTTAGCTGAATTGTAGAATGTGAAAGAAAAAAAATACAACAGCAGTATATTTCTGAGGGGCCGAAGTCTATCATTGGGGGGTGGCTCTATGCTTCATTGAGGTATGCAAAGAAGAGGCTTTAAGATTATGGCCACTTGGCCTTGGAATTGCTGCCTTGATGTGCACACCAACCACTGGCCTGAAGTTTTGGCCCCTCAACTGTTGGCTGATCATTATGTGGGAAGATCAGAGTGAGAATTGCTTTCGCTTCTCCTTCTGCACTAGCTGTGATGGATGGGTTAAGTCTGAGAGCTGTTTTGTCTCTCATTTTTGGTGTTTTGGTTTTTTGTCTGATACATAGTGTGAAAATGTAGTTTTTTAAAATTGTCCATGGGTGGCATGTGCTACCATGATGTAGCTCTACCATTTGCCTTGTCAGGATCTTTATTTTAAAAAAGCATGACAAGAAATTAATTATAAAATTTAAAATACAATGCTTTGCTTATGAGCTATGTAGATAAGGCTTTAATTAGAGCTCCTAACACTGAAACATTTATAACCTTTAATGAAATCTGTAATGAAAAGTTGGTCAACTATCCCCCCCCCATGCATACATTTGAACGTAATTACGTTTCCAGAAAAATGAGCATCTTTGCAGACTTTGGAAATTACAGATTTAGTCAGTTCAGCATTGTGGAAAAAATTCAGAGTTAAATTATTCTTCAACATGGAACTTCTAAGCATTTTAATAATAGAACAGAAGCATGCATTTGTAATAGTATAAAGCAGTGGCAACGAACCTTTTTGGGTCCGAGTGCTGATACTGAAAAAAAGCAAAAACAACCCAGTGGGCAGTGGGTTGCGATGGCAGCAGAAGTGGTGGTGGTGGAAGGAGGGAATCCCGGGCACGGAGGTGCCTCAAGACCCCACTCCGGATCCGCCACCAGCACCAGCTGCTCCAGATCCTGGCCTGCCACCTGTTGAAGCACCAGCATCGTGGCTGCAGCCGCCTCTTGATGTTTGGCTGCGGGGTGGGGGAGTACCGATCCGGCAACTTATGGCTCGCATGCCAACAGAAAGGGCTCTGCATGCCAGCTACGGTATGTGTGCCATAGGTTCGCCATCCTTGGTATAAAGTATAAAAACATGAATTGGTGCAACTTTGCACAATAGCATGTAGCAATCCTGTTCAAAAGCCCTTGGCTTCCATTTTTTTGTCTCAAGGTGATTGTGCAGAGTAAATAGACAAAAGGAATAGATTTTATGTATCATAACAAAAATATGAAAAAATACTGACATAATTTTAGTTTCAAAAAAATCTAGAGAGGTTGACTTACCCAAGCTACAATTTTCTGTTTTTATACCATAACATATGGAATTTCAACATTTGAGTAGAGGGAAAAATGCCAAGCTCTTTTGTCTTATTTCACTGACAAAAAGCAAAGGAGAAATTTAATTTTACCAAGCTACTGACACTCTGCCTTTGCAGAAAGAAGAACTTCATCTGTAGCCAGAAGAAATAAGCTTTGTAAAGTATGTATGAAAAATCATGTCCTATTTTGTCTATTTGACAATATATAAAATACCTAAATCACAGAAAACATTAAATTAATTTCTAGTGCTTTTTCCCCTCATAATGTAGTGAACTAGAAAATTCCTAATTTAGACTGTTTTCATTCCATATATGTGGTACCATATTTATGTGGAAAGGGCACTCGTTAAGTACTGAGGAGTGCTGCTGTGATCCTGATTAGAGATGGGTAATTGCAGTACCACAGATGCCACAGAGCCCATTCCCTCTTCCCAGAATCAGCTGAGCCGCACGGTGCTCAGCTCCAATGTTGCTTTTGCACCAATTGTGGAAGGAGCCTAGCTGACTTTTCCCCACCTCCCCCGCACAGTCAAATACTCTTCAACTGAGCGAGGAACTCCCCAACCTGTCTCAGCACAAAAGTGGTTGGCTGCGCAGGGAGGCAGGGAAGAGCTGCCCAGGCTCCTTCCGCAATCGGTGCAACAATGACAAAGCTGAGTGCTGCGCAGTGGTGAGTGGACCAGCTGATTCTGGACGGAGGGAATCTGTGGCATCTGTGATGTCCCAATTCATATCCATATCCTCAGGGATACAAATAGCTCATCTCTAATACTGATCCTGTCTCAAGTATTGAACATGCTTCTTGGCTCTGCCTTTTGCATACACTTACTTCATAGAAACTCCTACATAGGTGTTTTCTTTACAGATTACTGTTCTACTTTGTAGATGTCTAGATGCAGCATGCAGGGCCATGAGTGTAGCCTTGTGCCTAGTACCTTCATGATACAAGGAACTTAAAAGGGTAATTCAAATGAAGAAGATGATGAGTGGTCTTGTTCAGGTATTTTCATCCTACCCTTCCTCTACAGAGCTCAAGGTGGCTGCTGGGGAACCCTTTAATTTTCTGAGTACCTTCCAGGCTCACACCTGTGCCTGGCCCCAGAGAAGGTGACTCTGTTGCTGTTGACACCAGACGTGACAACAGCTAACCTGCATTTGAGTATCCTCGTTTAGGCATACTAAATTGGCGAAAGACAGGCCAGATAAGAACCTTATGGAAAGCTTAAGGCCAATCTATGTGTGTTTACTGTTTGGGCTCTTTAGTCTATGGGATGTTGTGATAAGACCAATGAAACTTTGAGAATTCTGAAACATATAACTTGTACAGATTTTGTACAAAGTGAAGGATAGCTTATTTGTTTGATCTCATTCAGAACTTGTAAATCTTGTACTATCTTCAAAATGATTTGGATTCAGGGGAGTTTTTCTGTGGTGAATCTGAAATGAATTAGCAGTTGAAGGACCTGTAACAAGGGCAAAGTGCATCCCATGTTCTTCCAGATGTTGAACTGGATGATATTGAACTGCACCTCCCATCATACCTGCCCATTGGCCGTGATGACTATGGCTGGTGGAAGCAGCAGTCCAAGGAATGAATGTTGTACAGTTAGGCCAATTTAGGTGGCTACAATTTTCTATTACATTTCAGTACCTGTCTCACATTTCTGGTTAAAAAAAACCCTCACTTTTTGATTCATCAGCATCTTTAATATTTTGGCAGGTGATATGGACGGACTTGCCTTGTCAGAACTTCCATCTTCTTATCTGTTGTGCTATCCTGGAATCTGAAAAGCAGCAAATAATGGAGAAACATTATGGCTTTAATGAAATACTAAAGGTACCTGTTGTGTATTATCTTAAAGCCAGATTATTCCTTTTTTTAATTCCTTGTTCTTACATCTGAAAATGAGTAATAATGTATTCCATAATCCTGCAACGATTGAGACAGCATAATAAATGGTATTACTCATTTGTCTGTCTGCAAGGTTGAAAGATGGTTATCTTTTGCTTAGCGGATATCAATATTACATTCACTGGAGAGACGCTGTGTAATGAAGCAGATATCTCATGAAACTATATCAGGCTAGTTATTTCATACCCAGAGCCAGGATGAAGGATCCTTGTTTGTCCTGAAGCAACTAGAAGTGCTTCATAAGTGTGTTTCCTTAGTTTGAGTTTTCCATATGAAACAGGAAATTCCAGGTGGTACTAATGCTGTAACTTTGTGTTGCCAGTTTGTGGTATGAAGAAGTCACCCACAGACCCAGCAGGTGCCCAGTTTAAAGACTTTCCTGGAAAATGTCAGTCCACTCACAAACCTAGGTGTCTTTCTTGTCGCCTTTGTTGTGTAGCCAAGTGGTCATGGTGATAGGTAGCTGCAGATGAGTCTGGGAAAATGGCCAATGTATGCTTGGCATATGAGAGAACTTTAAATACATACCCTGAGAAATGCATGCCGTACCATATCCATGAGTTAATAGTGCAAATATATTTATCAGGTTAGTATGGACATGAGTGGAAGATGCCCAGAGAACAAAAACTATACAACTCTGAAAGCTGTGCATAATGGCTTCCAACCTTTGGTACCCTTTGGTGTTCTTTTGTTCTGTTTTAGCACATCAATGAACTTTCTATGAAAATGGATGTGGAAGATGTACTTTGCAAAGCAGAAGCCATTTCTATCCAAATGATGAATTGCAAGGTAAAAGTAAAGCATTTATTGTGAGCTTTGCAGGAGCGACTTGATTGTTTTGAATCAGGTTGCCAGAATCCTATTGATTAGTTACATCAGCATAAGTGCAATCATGTAGAGCACTGGTTCTTAACCTTGGGTTACTCAGGAGTTTTGGACTGCAATTCCCAGAAGCCTTCACCACCAGCTGTCCTGACTGGGGTTTCTGGGAGTTGCAGTTCAAAAGCATCCGAGTAACAAAGGTTAAGAACCACTGATGTAGAGCAATGGTCCCCAACCTTGGGCCTCCAGATGTTCTTGGACTTCAACTCCCAGAAATCCTGGCCAGCAGAGGTGGTCGTGAAGGCTTCTTGGAGTTGTAGTCCAAGAACATCTGGAGGCCCAAGGTTGGGGACCACTGATGTAGAGTGTGGCAGTGAATTGCCAGTAGCTAAAAAGTCACCATTGTAACCCTTGTTTTTTGCCCGTCACATGTGTTAGTGTGGAACAAGAGATAGAAGCCTTTCAAGTGAAGTGTGTGTGTGTGTGTGAGTGAGTGAGAGAGAGAGAGAGAGAGAGAGAGAGAGAGAGAGAGAGAGAGAGAGAGAGAGAGAGAGAGAGAGAGAGAGAGAGAGAGAGAGAGAGAGAGAGAGAGATACCTGGAAATGGAAAAATCTCATCCTTGAGAATACCTGTCACAATAGTATGCTCCATTGGCTTGCATTAGAAATGCACTACACCTCTGTAGCAATAGTTGAGTGGTCAACTGGTCTGTTTTGCTGATTGGCTGCTTTTCCAGATGCTTTTGCTATTTGCTTTAGATGAATTGCGTGGCTTAATTGGATGATATATCCTTTTATACAATCTGCATTTGTTCACACTTTAACAAAATATATTTCCTTCGGAAAGTCTGATGTCCTAGTTAAGCTAGTTTCAGTACATTTTATAAACCAGTACTAGTACACCCATAAATTGATACCCTGAATGAGAGGTAAAATCAGATTTACCTGTGTCAGGTAAAAGTTTTAAAGGGATGACTATAGTTTTTGCATCTTCACCTGAAACGTTCTCAGCTCCCCTAGTATTGCTTCTTTTTTGAAAAAATGAACTAACTCCTTTCAGGATTCATAAAATATTTGTTGTAAAATGAACTTTGAATTTATTGACAGTGTACATTTTTGTGCAGTTTATGTGTTAAGAAGAAAATGCAATCATTGTCATGTTTCATAGGAGCTGCCTCAAGCAGTCTGTGAGGTCTTGGGATTAGAAGACAGTGCATTATCAACACCAGATTCGGACAACGGAGAGGATGAGACTGCCATTGGGATCAGTTGTCCTCTATCAGCATATCCAGAGACCTCTATGCCTGTTGCGACTGTCAATGGAACAAGCAAGAGTATGGAACAAGTGATCCACACAGTGCCGGCCAACTGACACACATACAACTGATTGGTCGTATTTTTGAAAAGACACTTTATTACAGCTGTTTTGTTTCTTTCAAGCACTTGAAGTGAATATTTTTAAAAACTGTGTTGATTTAAGCTTTAAGGTTTTGGAAGAAGAGATCATGTACTGTAATACTCTTGCATCAAAGCTTTACAACATGACCTAATTATTTTTGTAGTTACTTCTACCAAAATAGCCTTTTTGTTTTTCAGTAACATTCCTTAACACTTTTGTAGCCCAAGTGCATTTTTATTTCTTTTCATGGAAATGGGAATTGGATGAATGTGAATTACATGGAAATAAATGCACCCTTCTATTGCTTTTTCTTTGGCAAGTCTTGAGCACTGATGGGTCTGGGATATTGTAAGAGTTAAACTCTTTTTAAAAAAATATTTCCAAAACCAAAAAAAAAACCACTAACTGCATAAAACAGTGTTTTATGAAAGAAAGGAGTGTGTTCCTTCTCAAATGTTTACCGAAAACAAACAAACAAAAAACCCAAACCCCTTTTGAAGAATTTGTGGTTGAATGCAGTTTTGTAGTGAAATTTTTCATTTGTGCAGCTTTCTCATCCTGAATTTTTTGTAATCCAGGTGTGGCTGAACAGTCCATTTTTACATTTTAACATCTATTCACTTATACATATGTATGTATAAATAAGATACATATTCATACTTGGGAGTATTAAATGATAAATCTATTTTTGTGTAAATTAACTTGGCTATTTGTTCAGGCAGTTTTGACCAAATTTTAATACATAGATCCAAATCTAGCTATTTTTGCAAATCATTTTTCTAAACAAGGATAAAATATGTCTCAATATATTCAGGTTCTTCACCTGGTGTGATTATACAATGGCTTTCTTGCTCAACTAATAATGTTTATCCTTGCTGAATAGTATAGTATTAGAATTAAAAAAACAGATTAAATTGCCTTTATGTTAGCTACTCAATCAACTTTAAAAAGCAACTAAAATAAATGCAAGTTTTTAACCACCTTGTAGGAGTGTGTTCTCCCATTTAATTCTACTGTGAACACACCTTAGTGGCACAGCTAGCACAGAAGAATCTTATAGTGGATTGTGCTGTTTGCCCCTAATAATAAATTACTTGCATATGAAAAGTATAAGTTTATGCTGTGCTATTGTTTGACTTCTTATAGTAATGCAGAATTTGATATAACTGATTCATTGTATCTGATATTATTTGAGAACCATTGTACATACTATGAAATAAAATGCAGATTTTACTTAACTTTAAAATATACTCAGTGAAGACCTGTGTAGCTATTAGGAAAAATGTTGCACACTTCCAGTGATCTGCACACAGATTTGAAATGTCTTAACAAAATAATACTTCAGTTCTGTTGTGGCAGACCACTCCCATCAGGCTAAGGTTACAGATGAACATGACAGCATTATCCTACTAAAATCAGCAGCACTGTGTTCACAACTAAGAGACTGAGTTTCAGATAAATTTGAGCATGTAGAAAGGAATGTTGTATTTGGTTGGTGCTGCATGGTCCCTGTCACAGTAGTATCCTAATCCATGTAATCACACACACCACACAATCAAAAGTCATGTCTTTTCTAGCCCTGGGAAAGGGATAGTTGCCGGTTGCGCCATCAGTCACATGTGACATGGCACTCAGCTACCATTGTTAAAAGGATTGATTTTATTCTGTATACATTCTGAAAACAAATTTACAGCGCCTGAAAAGTTGATACTCATATGGGCTTGGTCACATCAGATGATAAAAACAAGTTGAATTAATATTGTAAAAATAGATAAAACATCCAGTTATGAACCCACAAATCAGAAGGTGAAATCTCTGCAGTTTGCAGTTTTAATATCATCAGTGCACTTATCTTTGATCAGTTAATAACAAGGAAACCCATTCAGCAAATGGCAAGGATTCAAGGTCCACTGTCCCAAGGTTTTCATTTCCTGCTTACAGGAAATAATTATTGAACTGCTTTGCCCCTTTGTTCTCTCAAAGAGTTTTTGTTCTACATTATTATGGTATACATGGGCTTAGGATTTAATAATTTTTCTGTTGTAGTCTGTTGGCTAAATAGGAGCAAGAATCTAATTCGAATATTGTTTTAGTTCAAAGGCAATTTATTTATATAATAAGGACCTTGTAAAAATTATGTTTTCATACAAAATTCTAAAAGGCTTTACTGTTGGGAAATGGAAAAAGAAGAATTGAATATTTTGGCTGCTGTAAATATACTGTTAAACCTTATTTGTGATTTTTGGGGACATTTTGGCTTGTTGGAACCAGTAGTTACTTTCACAGAAAGTAAAGACTTGACCATGACAGAAGCTGAGAGAGACACTTAAGGATGCTGCAACATATATCACATATGCAGTGGGGCTTCCCGGTCTTGTGTTAGGGAAAAACCACCCTTCAACTATCAAAATAGCAGTTTCTGAATTATAAAAACAAAATATTTTTCAATAAGACATTGGGTAAGATTCAGTGGGCTGCACAGTTTGATGAAACAGAAATCTAAAGGGGAAGATGGACTCCAATCCCCACTGCAACCCAGAAATCTGCACCAGAGGACTGGCAAATTTAGAGAGCATTTTGGGTAACACAGATGGCTGCAAACTTAATAGTATAAGCTGAAACTTCTGTAGCATATTAAGCCAACTAAAAAGCAGCTGCTTTACTTGTTTACTTTTAACCATGCAACAAAACATCCATGCAAATATAGATGGAAGTACTGTACATTCAGTAATAAGAGGGTATAGAGGAGGTAGTCCTTCAGGTCATCTGATCATAAGCTGATTGTTTCACTCTTCTGAAACAGTGAACAACCTTCACTGAGTTATTTAAATGTTTCAGAAAATATCTTTAACTGTTGTACAGATTAGCACTTAGACTGTCTTGGCTTTTTTAATGCAATAAAATACTGAGCATCTTTGATGCAAGTGCTATATAGTGGATCAGCATAAAGTTGTCAACATTGATGCTTCACTCTTCATGGGAATTGGGGAAGACCAATTGAACTATCATTTGGGAAACGATATTACAATGGTGCCAGCAAGTAATATTCAGAAATACCAGGCGTAATTCATCTACACAATACATGCTTATAGAACATTTTATCAAATGATGGTCTTCTAAAAAATGGAAAAAAGCCCAATAAATATACATAAAGCTTTCTCATTGAATGGTAATAGTATTCAGGCTTTGAAAATGGAATATAGTACTTTAAGCAGATACTACTAGGAAACTCAAAAGCAATGGAGTACATAGAGACATTTACACTCTTCAGCATAATGTGAACAAATTCTGTACCATCAAGTCAAAACCAGCTTCTAGTGACCCTAATGGGGCTGTCAAGTGAGATATTGAAAGAGTGATTTTACTAGTGACACCTGCTCAGTTTTCACCAAGTGGAGCTATGAATACAGGTCACTCTACCGACTATACCACACTGGGTACATGATATGGCCTTTTTCATCAATACTGTTTTTTGAATGGGATGGGACCCATAGTATTTCAGAAATGTCTGCTTTTAGCTTTGTTCTTTAGAATGCTGCAGAATTTGATGATGGAGGCTTTCACAGAATAAAATTCTTCCTTACCTAGAAGGAGTGCTCCCACAAGTTGTGAATAAGATGTAACTGGGAAAACATGGTAAAAGAAACATTCGTGTCACTGAGATCTTTGGAATGTAAATATACTTCATTTGCATGCCAAAGTTTGGAAACCTGCTTTGCAATGGAGATCATGTTGCTGGGAAGAAACATTGCATGAACAGAACAGACGCATTGCCCTGAACATGTGTTTTGGCTTTCCAGCTGGACAAGTTCTCTAGGAGATACTTGTTTGTTGCTTGTAGCCTTTGAATGATGCTTATTCTCTTAGGGCAGGGGTCTCCATACTTTTTACCATGAGGGTCGTATCATATATTTTCCGCATTTTCGAGGGCTGAAGGAACATGCATACATCTGCACGCCCACCGCCCACACCGGCCTGCGGATTTGAGCCTGCGACATTCGCTGGGCCAGATAAAAAGGCTGGACGTGGCCTGCAGGCTGTATTTTGGAGACTCCTATTTTAGGGCAATGAAAAAAACAACAATGCCATGGCCATGTTTTAAATGCAACTCATGGGAATACAGCCTCACCAGAAAACTTTTGTTATTTGGTAATCTCGTAATAGATTTCTATCTAATAGTGACCAATACAGAAAATAGCACGTATTGTGCAAAATTTTGTGTGCTGTGCTTTTCTGTGGGTGCATACCACCTAGGTGGACCCTGCAACTTTCTTTTATGTGGAATGTACTGAATAATAGAGTGCCATTAGAAACCTGTATACCACGCTCTTTGGTTTGTGCAGTTAAAACATTCACTTAGGTATGATTAAAAATCACACATGATTTGAGACAAGCAAAAAGTGAAATTTCTCTAATTTTCCCCCTTTGTGCAAATAGTACTTCTAGGAAAGGATGTGCTTATTGCATCATTTTTAAAAAAATCCTTAGCCAGTTTTAATTCATGTATTAGACTTCATACGATGGTTAGTATTTATGTTTTCCAAAAGCCTAATTCTATCCGATTAGGCAGTGAATGGATGCTATTTGCCTATTGATGACAGGGGATTAACATCAATGTTTTCCATGAGCTCTTTAATAAAGAATCAGTTTCCTTACATAGTTATTCAAAGAGTCATTTGAAGCAAGATCCCAGTAAGTCAAGTTTTAGAAACAGAGCAGAGGCAAACTTAGTGTACAAACAGTAATACCTTACTGTTGCAATTACACTTTGGTCCCAGAGACCAGGCCAAGTACAAGCAGGTGGGGAAAGGGGTAGCAAGTTGAAATGCAGCTGTTGGCAGGAGAAAAATAACGTCATGTCAAGCAGCAGACATAATATGAATTCATCCCTTTGCTCTCTTTGTAAGAATCATACTTCCTTTGCTCTGGGACTGATTGGGATAATGCATTGCTTTTAATGGAAGCATCAAACTGCCCAGGTTTGCTTGAGGTGTCCACCTCCTGTAATAATATGCTGGCCAAATTCTGAGATACTACTTTGGTGCTTTCCATGGCCCACTTATTTCAGCATATAAAGAAATGCAATGCTAATGCCTGTTGAAGATCAGGTTTTTTTTAAAAAAAAGTTTTCTTATTTTTTAAAGCTCATAAGCTTGTGACAAAAGTGACCTCAATAAAAAACAAGTAGACAGAAATTGCTAGGTAATCCATTGCATCTGGAGGGTAACCTGATCAGTTAATCTCTCTCTCTCTCTGTGCGTGTTTATGTTTTTCTGCCACCCGGGCTTTAAAGGTGGCAGCTTCAGTGAGGCTGTCCTAATCAGCCTTTCATCAGTTCTTGCCTAGGCATATAAAAACCTGCAGGAGAGGAGGGGGAACGCACTTGGATTGCTCCCTGTTCAGCACCAGAGTGTTGGACAGCTCCCGGAGAAGACAGACACTCTGTGGCTGTGGAAAGAGAAAATCACCCAGGTCATAATGCAGCCAGCAATGATGATGTTCTCCAGCAAATACTGGGCAAGACGGGGCCTTTCTTTGGATTCAGCCATTCCCCAGGAGCATCTGCTCCATGGCAACCTAACTGTAAGTATCCAACACTGTGTCAGTACTCAACAGAACAAATCCTCTTCTGGCATGACTGGGTCAGGCTTTTTAAGGAACTTCTTGAAAGAGGCTCAAAAAAGTGTCTTTTTTTTAATCCAAAAGAGCTAACACTGAAATAAATCTGTTAGTCTTTAAAGAGCTACAATGTTTTCTCCCCTTCCCCACTTTTTCCGCCTTTCATTTTGCCAACATATTAAGACAGACTAACACAGCTGCTGCTTTGAATACTAAGAAAAGAGGTCTGGTGGGCTGGTTTTGCTTGATAGATTTTTCTCCTGCCCTGCTTTCTACCATAGCGCAACAGCTCTGTACAAATAATCAAGGAAGTACTTTAGTAACAAATGGAGAATTTGAGAGAAAATATCTCTCTTACACATGTCCTTTGATTAGATCTTCTCTTTTCAGTTCAGCTGTGTATGCGACAACCTATCCATTTTGAGATACTTTTATAACCAATATACATACCAGGCAGTTTATGACTTGATTGTAAGTTATATAGTCTTGATGTTTGCAGCCTTTTCTGACAGCCTAAGACTGTGATCTTCAGCACATGTGTGTGGAAGTAAACTAATTGGATTTAATCAGAAAGAATCTCATAGCACTTAAAAAACTAATCAGTTTTACTGACAGTGTATGCTTTCATGAACTGTAGTCCACTTTATGAAATGCATCCATTGAAAGAGGTTTCAGTCTATCAAAGTTTGTGTCAAATAAAACTTGTCATTTTCAAGATGCTGCAAGACTCTGTGCTGGTTTTTCTCTCAGACACTAACACAGCAAACCCCACAGGAAATTAATTGATGAGCCTTTCTTCCAAGTAGGATTAATACAATACAGAGATAATTGTTTCAAATAAATAAAGAACTATAGAATTATTTACAATAATTTTCACTGTTGAGAAGAATTGCTGTAGTAATAATACCCTGTTTCCCCGAAAATAAGACAGGGTCTTATATTAATTTTTGCTCCAAAAATGCATTAGGGCTTATTTTCAGGGGATGTTTTATTTTTTTTCATGTGCAATCTATGTTTATTCAGATACAGTCATGTCATCTTCTGGTTACTGCACAATGGTGGAGGGCGGGCTTTCACTTAACTAGGGCTTATTTTTGGGGTAGGGCTTCTATTACAAGCATCCTGAAAAATCATACTAGGGCTTATTTTCAGGTTAGGGCTTATTTTCAGGGAAACAGATGATGACTATCACTGCAGGTGCTATTTAAAATGAAAATAGATTTCTGCAGAATAGGTTTTCATTTACTTACTTTTTAAAAGGCATGGACCCAAAATAATATGTTTTCATTACTTTTGTGTTTAATGGATGATCAGATTTTTCATGAAATGAGCCTTTGCTCTCGCTTTATTTTAAGAAAAAATGACAAATATATGGTGGAGAGAGCAAAATTATGAACCACAGAAACAAACATGTCAATCAACATAACTAGCATACAGAGGATAATGTACAAGGTGTTAACTGCCTTAAGCAAAGTGAGTTAAAACTGAAATGTCACCTGTTATGAAACTGTTCACTAGAAAGGCAAGGAATGACTTAAAAGTTAAGAAACAGCCGAAATTTGAAGTGCCAAAATCTGCTTGAAATGTGGTAGAAAACAGGAAGTAAAGTTGATGTTCAGGAATAACAAAAACCTTGGAACAAATGTGCATTAGTTAATTTCTAAAAAGGAAGCTTTCAGGACACTCATTGAGAAAGTATCTCTGCTTTTCTGGTTATTGATAAATGTTTTTAAGTTGTATTCCTGATGTATAAGGATGTGCATGCAGGTTGTATTTGCTTCCTTTGTATCAATCTGGACAGATTTTGCTGGGGGTTAGAAAAGGAGGGAGCACAGCAGCCCAAGATGACATTCAACACAAAAATGTATTTTTCAAGTGCAGGGCTCAACACCCATTTATTGTATATGCTCATTAATTCAGTGCTCCCAGTGCTTATGAGAATGACTCATACTTGCAAGTTCCTCTTCACTCCTAAACCAGACGCCATCCTTGAGGTTGCTGATGATTTCTAAAATTGCCAGCAATAGTAGCTGAATCTGCAGGGCAGTAATGATAAAGTTTGCCCAACATTAGTGTTGGTGGGTCTCAATCTTCAAAGACAGAGTTTGGTAAAAATTACCTTTTTGAACTACAACTATCAAGAGCAGCCATGCTAGCTGGGGGAATCTTGGAAGTTCAAAAAAGCAACTACTCTGAGCTGTGCTCAAGAATGGCCTTTATTCCCATTACACATTTCTTATTTAGCTTTCTGGGAAGCTCTAGAAGGCGCCCGACGCAATGCATGATTTTTGTGTTTCCGAATCTTCATTTTTGTTTTACAAAAGAGCACCTGCAGGGTTCGGGGCCAACACCATGCTGTAGGAAAAGAAAAGGAATTTACATCCTGATCAATGCTTTCCTGTGCTGTGTTTCCCAGCTTAAACCCCTCAACATAAGTAGTATGAGCACCAAAAATAGCTTACATTTGGACCAAATAGCAGTTTGGAAAGGGGAGATTTTTTGACAATGGTGCAAATTATGGTGGAGTTAATGCGTTAATGCAGATTTGTGGATGGTTTTTGAAAAAGGGAAGGCATGGGAATGTCGGCATAAATGTGTGAGGTCTGGTCCCTTTTGACCAGTTAATGGCTGTCAATGTTGCAGAAGCTCTATGTGGGAAATCTTATGATACATTTTAGGAACCTTTTCTGCGCATCTGCTCCATGGCAACCTAACTGTAAGTATCCAACACTGTGTCAGTACTCAACAGAACAAATCCTCTTCTGGCATGACTGGGTCAGGCTTTTTAAGGAACTTCTTGAAAGAGGCTCAAAAAAGTGTCTTTTTTTTAATCCAAAAGAGCTAACACTGAAATAAATCTGTTAGTCTTTAAAGAGCTACAATGTTTTCTCCCCTTCCCCACTTTTTCCGCCTTTCATTTTGCCAACATATTAAGACAGACTAACACAGCTGCTGCTTTGAATACTAAGAAAAGAGGTCTGGTGGGCTGGTTTTGCTTGATAGATTTTTCTCCTGCCCTGCTTTCTACCATAGCGCAACAGCTCTGTACAAATAATCAAGGAAGTACTTTAGTAACAAATGGAGAATTTGAGAGAAAATATCTCTCTTACACATGTCCTTTGATTAGATCTTCTCTTTTCAGTTCAGCTGTGTATGTGACAACCTATCCATTTTGAGATACTTTTATAACCAATATACATACCAGGCAGTTTATGACTTGATTGTAAGTTATATAGTCTTGATGTTTGCAGCCTTTTCTGACAGCCTAAGACTGTGATCTTCAGCACATGTGTGTGGAAGTAAACTAATTGGATTTAATCAGAAAGAATCTCATAGCACTTAAAAAACTAATCAGTTTTACTGACAGTGTATGCTTTCATGAACTGTAGTCCACTTTATGAAATGCATCCATTGAAAGAGGTTTCAGTCTATCAAAGTTTGTGTCAAATAAAACTTGTCATTTTCAAGATGCTGCAAGACTCTGTGCTGGTTTTTCTCTCAGACACTAACACAGCAAATCCCACAGGAAATTAATTGATGAGCCTTTCTTCCAAGTAGGATTAATACAATACAGAGATAATTGTTTCAAATAAATAAAGAACTATAGACATTTACAATAATTTTCATTGTTGAGAATTGCTATAGTAATAATACCCTGTTTCCCCGAAAATAAGACAGGGTCTTATATTAATTTTTGCTCCAAAAATGCATTAGGGCTTATTTTCAGGGGATGTTTTATTTTTTTTCATGTGCAATCTATGTTTATTCAGATACAGTCATGTCATCTTCTGGTTACTGCACAATGGTGGAGGGCGGGCTTTCACTTAACTAGGGCTCATTTTTGGGGTAGGGCTTATATTACAAGCATCCTGAAAAATCATACTAGGGCTTATTTTCAGGTTAGGTCTTATTTTCAGGGAAACAGATGATGACTATCACTGCAGGTGCTATTTAAAATGAAAATAGATTTCTGCAGAATAGGTTTTCATTTACTTACTTTTTAAAAGGCATGGACTCAAAATAATATGTTTTCATTACTTTTGTGTTTAATGGATGATCAGATTTTCATGAAATGAGCCTTTGCTCTCGCTTTATTTTAAGAAAAAATGACAAATATATGGTGGAGAGAGCAAAATTATGAACCACAGAAACAAACATGTCAAGCAACATAACTAGCATACAGAGGATAATGTACAAGGTGTTAACTGCCTTAAGCAAAGTGAGTTAAAACTGAAATGTCACCTGTTATGAAACTGTTCACTAGAAAGGCAAGGAATGACTTAAAAGTTAAGAAACAGCCGAAATTTGAAGTGCCAAAATCTGCTTGAAATGTGGTAGAAAACAGGAAGTAAAGTTGATGTTCAGGAATAACAAAAACCTTGGAATAAATGTGCATCAGTTAATTTCTAAAAAGGAAGCTTTCAGGACACTCATTGAGAAAGTATCTCTGCTTTTCTGGTTATTGATAAATGTTTTTAAGTTGTATTCCTGATGTATAAGGATGTGCATGCAGGTTGTATTTGCTTCCTTTGTATCAATCTGGACAGATTTTGCTGGGGGTTAGAAAAGGAGGGAGCACAGCAGCCCAAGATGACATTCAACACAAAAATGTATTTTTCAAGTGCAGGGCTCAACACCCATTTATTGTATATGCTCATTAATTCAGTGCTCCCAGTGCTTATGAGAATGACTCATACTTGCAAGTTCCTCTTCACTCCTAAACCAGACGCCATCCTTGAGGTTGCTGATTATTTCTAAAATTGACAGCAATAGTAGCTGAATCTGCAGGGCAGTAATGATAAAGTTTGCCCAACATTAGTGTTGGTGGGTCTCAATCTTCAAAGACAGAGTTTGGTAAAAATTACCTTTTTGAACTACAACTATCAAGAGCAGCCATGCTAGCTGGGGGAATCTTGGAAGTTCAAAAAAGCAACTACTCTGAGCTGTGCTCAAGAATGGCCTTTATTCCCATTACACATTTCTTATTTAGCTTTCTGGGAAGCTCTAGAAGGTGTCCGACGCAATGCATGATTTTTGTGTTTCCGAATCTTCATTTTTGTTTTACAAAAGAGCACCTGCAGGGTTCTGAGCCAACACCATGCTGTAGGAAAAGAAAAGGAATTAACATGCTGATCAATGCTTTCCTGTGCTGTGTTTCCCAGCTTAAACCCCTCAACATAAGTAGTATGAGCACCAAAAATAGCTTACATTTGGACCAAATAGCAGTTTGGAAAGGGGAGATTTTTTGACAATGGTGCAAATTATGGTGGAGTTAATGCGTTAATGCAGATTTGTGGATGGTTTTTGAAAAAGGGAAGGCATGGGAATGTCGGCATAAATGTGTGAGGTCTGGTCCCTTTTGACCAGTTAATGGCTGTCAGTGTTGCAGAAGCTCTGTGTGGGAAATCTTATGATACATTTTAGGAACCTTTTCTGCTGTATTTGAACAATTAATTCTTTCCCAAGTTTGTTTGGACAAATAATTTAAAATAATTTGGACAAATTGATGGAATATAGCCTATGAGCTTAGGAATTCTGAGGTGGGGCTATTAATCTAACAACTAAATAAATAAACTAGGTATTTATAACAATTGAGTCTAATGCTCGGTGAAATGATCCCCTCCTTAATCTGTTACATCTTTAAATAAGATGTTAATATAGGAAGTTTATTGAACCTAGCAGTTCGAAAGCATGCAAATGCAAGTAGATAAATAGGTACCACCTTGGGGAAAGATAACGGTGTTCCGTGTGTAGTTGTGCTGGCCACGTGACAATGGAAACTGGCTATGGACAAACGCTGGCTCTATGGCTTGAAAACGGGATGAGCACCGCCCCCTAGAGTCGGAAACAACTGGACTAAATGTCAAGGGGAACCTTTACCTATCGGCAGCTAGCATTTACTATTTCCCCCTGAGATCATGCACATTTTACTTGTTGGATTTGGAGTGGGGTTGATTGCCTAGGACTTCAGCTGTATATTTGCTATTTATTAAATAAATAAGGTAGGCATATTTTGATTTTTGTAATCAAATATATGCATGATTTTTCTACATAGTAGAATCTAGTGGTTATAGCACTGCTATTTAGCATTTTTTGTTTGTTTTACTTGCAAATGTTCCTCTTATTCTGTTATATTTGTTTAAGAAATCTGTCATGGCTGTGTAACCCTAAGAACTCTTTGATTAAGTGTTTTATCTTGTTTGTGCTTATTCTTTGCTTATCCTTGCAATTTCCTAACAATTAGCAATTTCAGAAACTGTTTTTCAGTACATTAAGAGCTTTTTTTTTAAAAAAAAAATCTACATCACATTTTAGTTATTGTGTGCAATTATTGGAATTCATTGACAGAAACAACCTACTGAGGCCCTCAAGTGAAATGACATTGAATATCAATCTCATCCAATCATACTGAAGAGTGGTAATTCAGACATATTTCCTTTTCACAAAAGTTTCTATTGTACAGAGGTGATGTCTTGAAAACCTCATAAAGAATACAGTTGGTCTATGTAATAGCTAGGGTTGGGGAGTAGATCAGTGTGTCAGTTACAGCCTTTCAGATAGCATAAATTTACACATATGGAAGCTTTCCAGGGGAGTTACGCTGCAAAGTTACACCATCTTATGGCTGTGGAAGTAATCACACAATCTAACCATGGCAAGAGGTTGCACAATATGACTGTGGAACTGTTTGCAGCATATGGTTTTGGGTGACTGCTTATTTCAATTTCACAAATATTTCGACTGTTCCAGGTTATGCCAGCATTAACTGTGCAACAGCATTTTGTTCAGTATTTCATTAGTTCTACAAGTTACCAGTGTATTTACAGGCTCAATAAAACATGCTGGATTAAAATTCTGTAGGACTTAGTGTGGGATCATGGGGGTTTATGTGTCTTCTTTCTTTGCTTGGTTATGCTAAGACAGTAGGCTTGTGGGGAAAGCTAGAAATTTTAATTTCTTGTACAGTGCAGAGCAGTTAATGATAGGATAAATTTAAATAATCACAGTTAGACATTTTGTGTATTAAGTATCCATGAGAGGAGAAGTTAAATTCTGCAAGTAATAATCTCCTTAGTGATGGACTTGCATTTTACAGTTTTTCCTTCCAATATAGTCAGGTCTGCTCCTCTCTGTTGTTAAGATTTTCCTGTTAAGCAAATCTTTACTGTAAATTTCACCTTTTGTCTTGTCAGCTAATTAACAAATGTTGATCAAGTTCTTAAAGCTCTCATGGGTTACTTTCTTATTACACACAAAGGGCAAATTCCAGTTTCCTCTTATACTGCTAAAACTGAAAGCGATTTTAGCAATTCCTCCATTATGATTAAACAGTTATTTCATTAAACATTTAAGACTTAATTGTGTTTTAATCAATACAGGTCCCTGTGTTGACTTTGCCAATAATTCTACATTATTTTTGACATGGGAGATAGACTGCTTTTCTCAAAGAGTTACATACCTATGGGAAACTTTACAGTGAAGGGAAATTGTTCTTTCAGTATCTTGCTAATACTCTCTCTACAGAGGGATGCTCCAATTTGCATTGGCCAATCTGTGCATAGGTTGCTGCATTAGGTCTTGTAAGTATGAAATGATATCTAGAATCTGTGCACACATAAATGAACTGTAAAGTGTAGGTGGGTATCCTCCTATCTGTGCAAAGAAAGACAACAGGTGTAATCCTAGTTCCATTATATGGCTTGGTTTTAGATCCTTTATATTCATCTTCTATTCACTTTTTAAAAAGATTATCTTATATATACCTGACGTAGGGCTGCTTTATATAGAAGTTTCTGAAATGACGGCAAATGCAGCATAGAGGGCCTCTTTTCAGACCACTATGATGGGCAATCCTGCCTTACACTGTCTTGATTCTTCCCCAGCCTTGGACTATAGAACACTATGAAGTATCTCACACATGCAGAGAGTACTAATGTAGGGGAGGCTGTTGTATTTGAGTCCCAACTAAAGTTAATATTTAAAAAATAATAATATCTATTTGAATTGAAAAGCTTATTCCCTTTCCCTTTTGGACTAAGGGAAGGATGAGTGAGAAGTTTGGTTTTTTTTTTCATAAAAACCTATCTAAAATTCATACATTTCCTCATAAATGGGATAGAAAAAGTGCATGATTTAGAAAAACATAAGAAGAAAGCAAAATAGACAGGTTGCCAAATCCAGGCAGGGAGCTTTGGATAACAAGTCTGGCTTCACATTTGTGGTAATCATAAAGTTTGCCACTTCTAAGAGATCCTTCATTTTAAGCCGCCAGGAGATATGACATGATCCCAGCCATATTGGAAATAGGCACCCCTCTTGCGCTGGCCAGAGCAAAATGGTCAGGAATTTGGTCTTTATTTTGATAGTAGTTTGCACAAACTCACGTTCCTTATATATTAAGTTAAACTGTGGGGAACTGAGAGATCCCTTTATCCCTCAATGGGACAATTCCCTTAAATCTCATTCTAACCACACAATAACCCACAAGCAAGAGGAATTCAGCAGCAAGCACAAGCAATTCAAAGAGAAGCAGACTGAAAATGTAATTTTCATATTATTCCAAGTTTTTTTTAAAAAAAAATGATATGGTAGTTCTCCCCTTTGCCCACCCATAAACAGATCCATTAAGAAAAACTGCCAGTGATATAAAGTGTGTGAAGACTTACATTTGAGATTATTTAGAACTGAGAAGCTATAGTACCCTGCAAAGTTTACTTTTTCCTTGGCAGTAGATGCAAGGCACACAGCAGAAGAATAACCGGAGTTGTAACAGTCTGATGATATATTCCATAATTCTTTTTTGTGATCTTTTAAAGTATAATATTTCATTCTTTGTTGTAACCCATAATTCTTTTTCTGAATATGCTTTTTGAAAAGAAGGGGAAAAGAACTTCCACTCTGAGATATCTATTTTATAAAATCAAACAAGAAGAGTCTGCTTGAAAGGAAAGCTTAATGTTTTTTTGAGGAGTACATAAAAATTCTTGTATTCTGTATCTATTTTCTTTCAGCTAAACAGAACCAGTTCTGGTAGAAATGATGACAAAAAAGGTAATAAAGGTGCAGGAAAGCATGAATCAACGTCAGAAAGTGGCAAGACCGCTGTGGTGTTTTCTTTGAAAAATGAAGTTGGTGGCTTGGTAAAAGCTCTCAGACTTTTCCAGGTAAAAAAAAAAGCTGTATCTTTTTGCAAAGCATGAACATGGATATTATCACACATATATGTGTGTTTATTGAACCTGAGGCATTTTGTGGATTAATAGCTGTTAATCTGAGGGTTGATCCTGTCAAAGTTTGAAATACTGTTGGGGTAGGTAAGCGATTCATTCTATTCTGAATGAAATGGACTTTGGAATACAATGTTCTTATTTGAGGGGAACTTCTACACCTATGGATGTCCAAAGCTAATTGTGATGGCTGGGAGTATGTTTTGTGGCTTTCAGCTGGTGTAGTCACTGTGGCCTTTCCCAGACAAATCAGGCCTAGCTTTAGTAATTCATGTGCTGGTTACATCTTCATTATACAACTGTGATACCTTTTAGTATGTGCAGAAGCCTCTGAATTTTACAATTTATCTTTCTTCTTGTTATGTGCTCTGAGGTTGCTTATGATGTCCCTAGAAGAGACTTCCAAAAGGTCCTTCATTAACAGCACTCGTCAGGTCTGGCAAAATCATATTTAATCTTCCTCTTTTCTTGCTACCTTCAACTCTTCCTGGTGCCATTGTCCTTTCCAACTGGTTGAGTCAGGTCATGATGTGCCCAAAGTGCAAGAACCTCACTTTAATCGTGTTTCCTTCTAAAGAGAATTCAGGCTTGAATTGATTTAGCAAGTGTGTGATTAAGCATTTAATTTTTGTTGTGGAAGCCTATAGTTCCATAAAACTCTCCTCCAACATTGTGTATTTCAGATGAATTGGTTAGTTCCTTATCAGCAACTTTATTGTCCAGCTTTTGTATCTGTACATTGCAGTCATTATTATTTTAGTGCGTTTGATCTTGACTTTGGTCTCCAATGACACACCCTTATGCTTGATGATCTTTTTCAGTTTTTTCATAGCTGCCCTTCAAGGTCTCAGTCTTCTTCTGATTTCTTGGCTGCAGTCCACATTTTTATTGATGATTGAACAAAAATCTAGAAGCTCTTTAACAATTTCAGTGACTTCATTGCCAGCATTAAAGTTACGTGATTCTTCTGCATTCAAGATTTTATCATCTTGATATTCAATTATAGTCCTGCTTTTGCATGTTCTCCTTCCGCCTTCATTAGAAGTCTTTCTAAAGTCATTGCTGCTTTCTGCCAGTAATATGGTGTCATCTGCATGTCTTAAATTACTGATGTTGGTTCCACCAATTTTCATTCCTTCGTCCTCTGAGTCTAATCCAGCTTTCTGTGTGACATCTTCTGCATACAATTTAAACCAGGCGTTCCCAACCTTGTATCCCCAGATGTTCTTGGATTGCAACTCCCAGCACAGGTAATGGTGAAGGCTTATGAGAGTTTTAGTCCATCTGGGGTCCCAAGGTTCGGAAACACTAGTTTAAACTGATTGGGAGATAAAATAGATCGTGCCTGATACCTTTGTCAATGGGAAATCATTCTATTTCTTGACATTCTGTCCTAACAATAGTTTTCTGTTCACAGTTCTTGTCCACTGCTCTTTTTTAGTGTTCAGTTCAAACTGCTGAGCTGAACTTTTAAAGCATTTTATTGCTTGAGATCAAGTGACATGTTTCCCTCCAGCCTTCATACACCTTTTCACAAATCAAACTGCTGTCACTGACAGAACTCTATCCCTGAAATCCATCTATGCCATTTAGCAAAAACAAAGGTCTTCACATTGTTGCTATCCTATCAGTCCACAGGTTTTTATGATGTAGAAGTGTGTTTCTGCCACCACCCTCCATCATAAAGAATAGCTGCAGTTGCTGCTGAACTTTGATGGTGGGAAGCTTCATGACCCCAATGAACTGGGGTATGGAATGTAGAACCTCTCAATACTGGGAATTTGCTCCCTTCTGCCTTAAGAGCTGTTTTCTCCTCACATAAATGGATCCATAGCTCTTTAATCTGTCCTGAATTGGCTTTGTCTTTCCACTCACACAGCTGCTATGTGCTTTAGCTCATCACAAGTGTTCAGTCTATTTATTCACAGAGATAATGGTTTCATTGACTGCACTAGGAAATGTATATAATGATGTGCTTTTCAGGTATCCAAGACCAATAAAAGCATCTATGTGCTTCAGCAATAGTGCTTACTGGACCTAAAAAAGACTGAGATATTATTCTACATCATCAATGTCATTTCTTCTCCATTTATTTATTCTGCCTATAAATTTGGCACTAAATTTTTTTTGTGTTTGTTACAATTAAAAACTGTTTGTATGAAATTGCCCTGGTAAATCACTTTTAATTATCCTATGTTATTTATAGTTACCATCCTCAATGTTTAATGAGCAATGAATACATTCTGATTTTATAGAAGGCATATTCAACAAAAATTGCAAACATTTAAATTAATGTCTTCATCTGCATATCAAATGGCAATTTATTAAGATATAGCCACTAAACCATTGTTGTCCTAAGTGAATTTAGTATGTCAGTGAACTGGTCCTTCTTCTGTCCACAGGAGAAACATGTGAGTATGGTTCATATTGAATCAAGGAAATCCAAGAGAAGAAATTCAGAGGTAGAAATTTTTGTTGACTGTGACTGCAGCAAGAAGCAATTCAATGAGCTCATTCAGTTGTTAAAGTATGAAACAAACATTGTCACCCTGAATCCACCAGAAAACATCTGGACCGATGAGGAAGGCAAGATCGCCCTCTTCCCCTTTCATTTTATTTTTAAATTAGTGCAGCATTGTGAAGAAGCCACTAGAATCTGATGCCTCCAATCACTCTATTTTTTTCCAGAGCTTGATTGCGTTCCTTGGTTTCCCAGGAAGATTGCTGAATTAGACAAATGTTCTCAAAGGGTTCTAATGTATGGCTCCGAACTAGATGCAGACCACCCTGTAAGTATTTAAGAAGTGTCAGTGGAAGGCGGTAAAGTAAATATGTAGAGAAAGGGAGAGTAATATGAACTGCTGAATGCTGATACGATATGGTAATGGCTGAATCCCGTTGTCAATAATAATAATATTTTCGTTTTTAACTGTACATTAATAACAATGATTATTTAGTGAAATCCTGTCTTTCTACCAAATCTTGCCCAAGGTAGTTAACATTACAAATAAAATACAGAATAGGAACAAAAGCAACACAAAAGAATGCCTTTCCTAAAACCTTCGAATGCCCTTCATACATTGTTACAGCATGCTTGTCATAATGGTTGATAGTTGAAGACACTAAAGCAAATTTTCTAAGATATTTGAATTACAACAACTCTGTCAAGTGGGACCTAATCATAGTTTGTAGTATTTTCTTTCTAACTCCAAGACTTGTGGAACAAACAATAAATTTATTAGACTGATGTATAACATTGCCAGAAGAAAATTATGAAATTTGGAGTGAAGTAGTCGGGAGGATATTTCTTAGATTAGATCAATTTATTCACTACAGGCAATACCTTTAGGTCATTTGACATCCATCTCATTGATAAGTCCAACTGCCTTCACAGAAAAAGAGGTGCATGAAATCCATGTTCTGTTGTAATTAATATCTTTTCACTTATTGAATGAAGACTCTCTGAAGCTGCCTTACTGCAGTGCCAATTTGCTGCACGGAACCATGGAGGCTTGTAAACCATCAAATCCAACCATTTGGTTAACTCAGCAACTATTCAAAAACTGTCTAGTCTCTGCTCAAGGGACTCCAGTGAGGTGGATTTCACCAATGTCCTAGGCAATTGGCTCAGTCCTACAACTGTTCTTAGGGAGAGCACAGAAAGCTGCTTTATACCTTCTGGTCCTTGATCCATGCAGCTTAGTAATATCTACACTGACTGACAGCAACTTTCTCAGATTTCAGACAATCTTCTACAGCCCACCCTGAAGATAATAGGGACAATATGGATCTTCTATCTGTCAAGCATATTCTCCACCACTGAACCACATCCTTTGCCTTACTGATGTTGCTTTCTCTTGATATCAACAGTCCAATAGGCTTAATCCTATCCTCTGAGGCAATAGAAGACAATCCTGTACTGTTTTCTGTTGTCTCAGGCAATGAGTCATCATTCAGATTGTGTGAGATATTTGTGTCATATTTCTGTGTTGAAAGCTGCCATCAGGAATGTTTGCTAAATGATAAAAGTATACATGGACTTATATAAATTTATAGAATGCAGCTTTTGCATAAGAAAAGCACTGAAGAACTGTGGAGAGATCACTTCCAGTCCTCCATTCCCATCATACAAAGGTAGATTTCCTTAAAAAACAACAAACAAAAACCCCCTGTAATACATATAATCACACACAATGCCATAAGTTCCCTTAAAATAATGTTCCTTTTGATGTGGGAGGAGAAAGAAGACAGCCTTTAAAAAGCTGCTCATACTCAGGGAGATAATTATAAAGCAGAAATCACGACATACTTCATCCTCAGCAGGAATGCAGCTGGCATGTAGTTTTGTTGTGTTTTCCCTCCTGTTTTTAATACAGCAGTATTGCCTTGCCTCATATTTAACACTCTCCATAGGTTCATAAACTGCCAAAAACTATGAATACAAAGCTAGGGGAAATTAACCTATTGGAATAATCTGTTTAGCCTTCATTGCCCCCTCCCACTCTACCCCAACCTCAGCACTTGCTTTAAATGTGATGATGTTAAACCAAGAATGGGGAGTGTGATGCCCTCTAGATATTCAAGAAGTGCTGTTCTCATCATCCCTTAAGACTTATCAGGGGCTGGGGTTATGAAAAGCTCCTTTGGGGACAACAAAACCCAGAATCTCCAGGCATGGTAAAAGGAATGAATAAAAACAACATAAAAACAATGGCTGGAGGATTATACAACAGCATAGATCAGCCATTCTGATAATATAGATACAATGTTGGACATTGAATTTTAAAATATCTGGACTGGGTGTCTCTGTGTTCCTGGTTGAGTGGCACACATACTCAAATGTTTGTGAATGTCATCACTGGAGATTGGAGGATCAATATCAATGCTGAATACAGTGGAACTAAAACGTCGTAATGCAAAAAGAAAAAACCCATTGAAATGCATTAAAACCCGTTTAATGCGTTCCATAGGGTTTGAAACTCACCGTCCAGCGAAGATCCTCCATAGGGCGGCCATTTTCTGTGCCTATAATGCGAGGAATCCGTCCCAGAAAACAGCAGGGGCCATTTTGTTTACCCGGCAGCCATTTTGAAATCACCGATCAGCTGTTGGAAAATCATCATTTTGCGAAGAATTGGTTCCTGAAGCAGGGAACTGATCATCACAAAGTGAAATTTCCCCCATAGGAAACATCGTTTTGCGATCGCAAAAGAGATCTCAAAAACTTCGTCGTAATGCGATTTCGTCGTTAAATGGGGCAATCGTAAAGTGAGGCACCACTGTATTTAGGAAGCTTGGGGTATACAGACATTTCAATAGCTCTTTACAAGACAGTATCCTTGTAGGGTAAGTTTTGCCTTGTTCTCTTCCACAATTTCTTCCCCCTGGATTTTTTTTTCTACATGTCAGTCAGTGAGCAGGCATTTCAGCTGAGATGCTGGAGTAAGGTCACCATGTTAACACCATCAAAAATGCTTGAGAAAATGTAGCAGCTAATCATTGCAGTGAATACTAGCATTTCTTATCAAGCTTGATGGGTTTACACAATCGAGCAGATATCTTCTCTGGACCATAACAGTTGCTTGAATAATCGTTGGGTCCTTATTGTGAGTAGAAGGCCCAAGTCCAAAAGGCTACCACTGGCCTTTATACCACTCATTTATCTTTGTGGCAGAAATTCCAAGAAGCTGAAGAGTTGAGAGGGAAAACAAGTACACACACACACACACCCTTCATGATAGAAAAGGGTGTTTTCACAGCCAGCAGGCATACCTTGGAAGGGCACTTAGTCACAGAGATACAGCATAAGCATAATTAGCTCACATCCAATCTGAGAGAATGGCAGGTATTAACCTCTAATGCAAGGAGAAATAATGCTTTTATGCCCAAAGAAGCAGTGATATGAAGAACAGGAAAATTCACATCTTTCCCCTTAATTTCCACATATAGCATGTCAGGGGAATTTTAAGAACCACAGATGCAAAATTCTAACAATATAGTACTTTAAATATGGAAAACATGTGGCAGTCGCAAACAGCTCACCAAATGGCAGGAAATGGGTAGGTGCATGGGACAGCTGTACATGTTGTTAACTTCCTTAATGCCAAACTCAGCACAACACATTTTTTTCTTTGGTGCTCAATGTGTTGGTTTCTGAGGCAGCCGAGTAGGCTCATAATTTGAAACTGAAGAGACATCGCAAATATCTGCCTGAGAAAACAACAATTTTCTGTGCAATTTCTAGGGCAAAAGGAGATGGAAATCTTTCCCAGTTATGATCTTTCTGGTCTCTCAGGAAATATAACCTTTAGCATACATGTCCTACTGTACAGATGGGGATCCTTTTCTAAAGCATTTTACACAATTGTAGATAAACTGCAAGGGTTAAAGAAAGACAATAAAGACCCATCTGGGAGTTGTGACCTTTATCTCATCTCTTTCTCCAGTTGTCTTTCTACCTCCATTCTGAAATTATTTTTGCCAACATATGTCTTCACATCCCTTTACAAAGTCTTTGAACTATAAATATAGTATTGTACAGTTGGATAGCAAAGCTATGGTTAGTAGGAGCCATTCTGCTCACAAGTATTTGTAATGTATATTTGATTTGACCCTCATTTCTTGATTTTTGCTTCTGTTCTCAAGCCCTGATGCTCAGGTGTTCCCAAATCTGAGGGCATGAGACCAAGCTTGGAAACTTACTTTGTTCAACTGCAACTCCCAGAAACTTCCAAGTACTTTTTGGAATGTTGGCTGGGGGATTCTGGGAGCTGTTATCAAAAAAAGGTAACTTATTTGAGGTGTGTTACTATGGATAGACTCACTTCTCAAACACACATGTCTATGGGGGCATGCTGGCAGCCAAGCCTTCCTTTCTTTTTCCTGTGTTTGTTAACCATGTGGAACATGAACGAGTGAGTGGTGTTTAAATACCAGCAACAGAAAGAGTGAGGCAGGAAAAATCTTTGTGTTTGTTTAAAATGTTTCGATGTAAATATTTACTTTGAGGGAACATTATGGTTTTACCACAGCTATGCTTTACCACAGGAAAGCTAGCCAACATAATTTTTGTAGAACATAAAACATACTGGAGGCAAAATTTGCTAAAATTACTAAATTGCTATTTTTTTTTATTTTAGCCTTTAGGTACAAACTAGAGCTCAACATTGTGTAGGGCATTGGTTATACTGCTGGTTTTGACTGGATACTTTCTATTAAAACTTCCTCATTTCCATTTTACCTTAAGCATAGATAGCTTGAAGCAAAACAGTATCAAGGATAATCTCAAGTCATTTGTTCTAAGGGGAAGAACTTTTCTACCCTACAGTTATGGTAGCACAGTTTTTTTAAAAAAAAATTATATTAATTTAAATTACATTTATAATTCCGTTTTCAACCTGAAGGGCCCTCAGGCCCAGTTACTCTTTGGGCTGATGACCTAAAATCACTTAACATCAATTTTCATTCTCACAGTGAATAGAAGCATGGGAAGAAAATACAGGTTTATACTTCTCTCTGGACCTTTCAACATTCAAAATTCTCAGGAAGGAGAGGGAAGGAAGCAAGGATAAAAGCTTGAACCAGCTGAAATGTTCTCCCCTCAGTGCAATCAACTGCCAACTGTCCTGGATGAAGGGTTCTAGGAGAGGCAGGCAAGCAGGCTGACAAAGAAAATCTGAAAGCAGGAAGGAGAACCTAAAATCTGGGCAATATCTAACCCTCCTGTGGTCCTAATCATCAGAGGTTCCCTACATGACTATCCCCCCTCCCCATGACACCATGGTTTGATAATTCTCAAACGTGTACCCACCTACCCTTTTTCCATTCCAAAAGGTTGGTGTTAGAGCTTAGTTACTGACACTGACTTTTAAGATAAAATTTACTGGTATTTTTGGTCCTGTCCTTTTCTCAGTGCCATGAACTTGTAGAAATGGAATTCAGCCCTTTGGCTGAAATAAATTTCCAATTTTTGTGTCACTATCTACTCCAGCTGGATTGTTCCATACCCTCCCTTCTTCTTGAGATAATTACCACCACCACCTGCTCTGAGAGAAGCCCTGCTGCTTCTATGTTGATATTATCTCCTGTTGTTATAAAATATAAATCTTTATGTTAGTTGTAAACAATCTTAAAAGAGGGATTTATATACTGAAAGTGAAATATAAACAACCGTATTGATAAATAAGCAAATAAAGGAGATTAATAAATTCCATAAGATGTCTCTGACAGAAATAGTAAAAACTATTTTGCTGGTCTATAACTCCTAGAATTCCCCAGCCAACATAGTCAGCTGTCTCACTGAGTTATTCTGTGAGATTGAAAACAGAATGTTTTCAGGCTCCAGGTCTTGACCCCATGTAATTTTGTCAGAGTTCAGACCCTGAGCCTTTTCTGAGGGACAGTGCATCATCCACCTGAAGCAGCAGCAGCAGTAGCAAATTTTGGGTGTCATTGATAGGGTAACCAAACTGTTAGGCACTCAAATTGGTATCTTTATATTCTTCCTGCCTGGGAAGGGAAAAAATATCATTGGGGTTTAATGTCCCAGGTGCCAAATTAATACCTTTGGCTAGCATATATTGATATGGGTGACTGAGAGGTGCCGTCTACTCTTCGGTCTCAGGCAGCCAAATGTGTTGTGCTGGGCCTGGCCTTTGTTTGTGGACATGTAAAACTATAATTGTAGACCAAATGGAGCAGTTTGTGGAAGGTGACATTGTAACGAAAGCCTCAATGTTTCACCTGAGGAAAGCAAATTTTGGAAGCTGAGGTTATAAATAACACCTTAAGTGTCTTACTTGGTGAAAGTGCAGATGAAAATATTTTTTTATCAGAATTTGGAGGTCTTCAAACTCCTTGCTGCACATTAATTCAATTCAAGTGGTTGCCTACAGTAATGGACTGGAAGATTTCATTAAATTTAGTCATTTTTGCCATTTTGAATTTATGGTATACAGTGGAACCTCTACTTAAGAACGTCCCTACTTAAGAACAATCCAACTTAAGAACAGCTCCATTCACTAAATTTTGCTTCTACTTGAGAACGGAGCTCCAAGATAAGAACGGGGGAAAAAAACTTTCCTGCCCTTTTTTTAACCTTAGGTCATTTTAGGCAGATCTCTTAGATTAAAAAAAAATTCTCCCCCTAGTGGTAGAGTACGGATTAACCGGCTTTGCATTAGTTCCTATGGGAACTAATGCTTCAGCGTACAAACGTGCCTGTACATAAGGACAAAAAACAGCCGGAACGGATTAATCGGTTTTCAATGCATTCCTATGGGCAATTTTGCTTCAACTTAAGAACGTTTCAACTTAAGAACACCATTCCAGTACGGATCAAGTTCTTAAGTAGAGGTTCCACTGTAGTTTTATGGATGGAAAAGAGCAGATACGGATTAAATGGTTTTCAGTGCATTCCTATGGGAAATGCCGATTCGACATAAGAACTTTTCAGCTTGAGAACCGCCTTCCAATACGGATTAAGTTCTTAAGTAGAGACCCCACAGTATGTTTATTGGGTTTACTGTTTATAGAAATTATAATGCCACCCAGAATAGACCTTTGGTCTAGATGGGTGGGGTAGAAGTCTAAATAAATAAATAAATAAATAAATAAATAAATAAATAAATAAATAAATAAATAAATAAATAAATAAATAAATAAATAAATAAGTGAGGATTGGTTTTCTTCCCACAACATGTGCCTTCATTGTGTTTGCTAGTAGCTCTGTAGGTGGTATGTATTAGAACAAAAATAAGCTTTTGAAAACAATGTGATGATTTCTTAAAATCAGTGGTTCTTAAATTTTGTTACTCAGGTGTTTTTGAACTGCAACTCCCAGAAACCCCAGCCAGCAGAGCTGATGGTGAAGGTTTCTGGGAGTTGCAGTCCAAAAACATCTGAGTAACAAAGGTTAAAAACCAGTGCTTTAAATGTCCCTCCTGGTGATTTTCTTTCTTTTTAATTTTAATTCTACTTTTGCTTTGTTCTGTTTTTACTTTAGGGGTTTAAAGACAACGTGTATCGGCAGAGAAGAAAATATTTTGTAGATGTTGCCATGAGTTATAAATAGTGAGTATTAACTTTTTAAAGCCCCAATAGAATTGCTACTGATTCAGAAAGCATGCACAGATTGCTTCTTCTTATTGTGAACTTCACAATCAGGAAATGACAGCTGTTAAAGTGTGGACTAATTTGGATGGTGAACATATGAATTGAGCTGATTTGTACATGTGAATTGACTTGATTTGTGGAACACAGGAAAATACCTTATGTAGAGAAAAGGTATTGATCCATCTAGCTCAGTATCCCAGTAGCTCTCCAGCATTCCAAAGACAAATCATTCCCAGGTAAAACTGGATGTATTAAAGAGCATCTGTTAGAGGAAGAAGGACGCTGAGAAATGCTGCAGGGACCTTGCTGAAACCAAGCAGATTTGAATATGGTTGAACAAGAGACTTCCTAGGAACTTCATGATATATTGAGTTCATTCAACATGGAAGGTGGGATAGGAATGCATTAAATTAAAAAAAAACAAACAAGAGATCCAGTAAGGACTGGCAGAGTGATTGTTGTTTTTAAGATGTATCCAACTATTTGTGACCCCATGGACCAGAGCACACCAAGCCCTCCTGTCTTCCATTGTCTCCCAGAGTTTGGTTAAATTCATGTTGGTCGCTTCGATGATACTGTCCAACCATCTCATCCTCTGTCATCCTCTTCTCCTCTTGCCTTCACACTTTCTCAACACCAGGGTCTTTTCCAGGGAATCTTCTCTTCTCATGAGATGGCCAAAGTATTGGAGCCTCAGCTTCAGGATCTGTCCTTCCACTGAGCGCTGAGGGTTGATTTCCTGCAAAATGGATAGGTTTGTTCTCCTTGCAGTCCAGAGGACTCTCAAGAGCCTCCTCCAGCACCACAGTTCAAAAGCATCAATTCTTCGGCGGTCTGCTTTCTTTGTGGTCCAGCTCTCACTTCCGTACATCACTACTAGAAAAACCATAGTATTGACTATGCAGACTTTTGTTGGCAAGATGATGTCTCTGCTTTTTAAGATGTTTTCTAGGTTTGTCATTGCTTTCCTCCCAACAAGCAGGTATCTTTTAATTCTGTGGCTGCTGTCACCATCTGCAGTAATCATGGAACCCAAGAAAGTAAAATCTGTCACTGCCTCCATATCTTCCCCTTCTATTTCCCAGGA